ACTCGTCGATTGTGAATGTCGGAATTGTGAGTGCCGAATTTAATAACGAGTGACCGTCACATTGCGTTTATCAGTTCGCGTAATCATAATGATCTTCGTAAGTGACATTGACGTGATTTACCGAGCATTGCACATGGCGGGATTCGAAAGTTTTATCTTTCGCGGAACGCGAGTGAGTTTATATCGCGTGGAGCTTTTTGCACTGGATTTTTCCCGGAAGAAACACACTCTTATTTTAGACGCGGTTCGCTATTTTTTCTCACTCATTTAATTCTTTCTAAATTTTCCATAACTGTTGCAGTCGGATCGCATTAACGCGGATCCGAATAATTCCCGTTATTTCTCGCATAATTTTATTAATCGAAAATGATTTTGAACGAGTGTCTAAAATGTCGATGCAACTGACTTATATTTTTGCGCATCGATTGATCCGCAAAAAAGATTAATGTGTCTTTTGATATATTTATAGCAATACCAGAATTATTTTTGCCGCTGTATATAATAATAATCCCGCGCCAAGTTACCATGGAAACATGAAGGTAATCGGTGAAGTACGCCGCGTTTCATATTCCGTATTTTAATTCGTTTAATTCGTTACACTCGCTGTATGTCTAAAAATAATTTTTATTTAACTGACTTTCGTTTATCGTGAAAACTGTTGAAAATTACGAAAGCATCGCTCGAGTCTTATATTTGTTACGAGAAATTTTTGCGCCGTCTTTTCCTGGAAGAGTTGCATCGTGACGCGTTTTTCCTCACCGTACTTACCCTAAGCCTTTTCTAAATCCTTCGTAATAATTACAGTCGCGTTATATATGCGGAATCGCATGCCTCGTGTTTCTCATATTATTTTATCCGTCGAAAGTGAATTTTACGTGTGAATAAGTATCGGGAGTACCGAATTAAACAACGGGTGAATCTGGATACCTCCGATTTATAAAATTAGAATTGTAACGCGTTTCTCAATCTGCGTAAATGACGTTGAATTAATTTACCGACTTGTCATATTGCGAAAGTTTCAGTTTTGCGAAAAGCGAGTGACTTATTGTTGGGAAACTGTTAAATTAGTGAAGTACATTACACACAAACGTACAATGTGCAAGTGGATATATACAGACAAAAAGTCGCAAAATTATCTGAAGCAAAAAGGGCCAGGAGCAGAAAGGAACGAAGTGATAACCAGATGCAAGTGGAAGACATTCAAAGGTGATAAATCGATAAAATCAATTATTAGATACAAATATTAATTATAATTTCTAAATACGATAATAATATTATAACAAGTCATGTTGGATGATTATTTTAGTTTTAATTATTTCTGTTATTCATTAATTGTAATTATTGATTACATTATTTATACTAGTTACAATTAACCATATTGTTAGTTAACCAATTAATACAATCTTAATGCAATCTTAACTTTAATCATATGATATGGCAATATATATATATATATATATATATATATATATATATATATATATCTTTGCTTCTTACATTTTCTTTCTGAAATTTTTATTTTTTAACTAGTAATAATCTATAAAAATTAAATTACTATAATAATAATCCAATATTTTATAACAAAATTAATGATTCACATAAATTTTGAAGATGACGCGTGAGAAGCGAAAAGAATTAATATCTCTTTAAATTATAAATTATAAATTGACATGCGGACAAAAAGACTGCTCAAAAATAATCAAGATATAAATCCGTGATAACTCGAAAGCGAATTATAATTAATTATTATTAATTAATATAACGCATTATTTTAAACTGAATACTCTTTGAAAAACACTGACGATTTTAATCATTTCGTTAAATTATATACATAATTGACGGCGTGCACCGATAGTGAAAAAAATCTCCGGTTTCTAACGCGTGGTCCTTTCTTTCTTTTGCAGGTAAGTGCGTTGCATATCGTAAAGCTTTCGCATACCGTCGGTAAGTCATGGCTTTTTCCTCTTTGGAAGCTTCCCTTTCCTCCTGTCGCCGTTTTGTCAAAAAAGCTCCTCGCGTCAGTCGGTAATATTCGCTCGCGAGTCGTGAACGGGTTACCGACGCGCTCGCGTCACCTGGTATATATGTCGGTATTATGTTAATGTCGTACTACTCAGGACCACACTCGCCTGTCTCGTCTATGCTTGTCTATCTGTGTACTATCTGAAATCGCTCTCTTCGGTGTCCTTAGAAATGTTCGTTCATGTCTCGCGCAACTTGCCTCTTTGCTATTTCTCGTTTAAGCACCACATCAGGTGGGTATGTGACACCTTCATTCTCTTTAAAAGCTTACACACCGATCCCGCGATGCGATTATGTATTATGCATATTGCTGGACTGTTGACGTATCGATGAGTTGGACTATGGATTGGTAATGACATTTCGTTAAAATTACATATCGCGACCTCGACCTTTAAACAACCTTGATATTCGACGAGATGATATTTGACGAAATTACATTATTTTTACCTGCTAATTGTATCAAGTATTGCGTCAAGTAATTATTTGATAATGATGTTAGGGACTTTTTTGTAGATATAACGTCGCGTTTAATTAGATATTACGTCATTATTATTAATCTATTTAAATCGTTATCATTATTTTTATCGCCGTTATCGTTGTTATTATCGTCGTTGCTCCAATCATTATTATTGACACAATATTTAAAATAGACATGATCTGTTGATAAATATTGAGCGTATATTTAAAGCCGAGTAAGTAGTGAGACACGTATAAAATCAGACTTGCGTCTGTCTAATATAATGCTATACTACTTTTCTATATAAGAACGATCAAACCATCTTTTGCCGTACTCAGATTTTTATATAGATTACAATTTCAATTTGCGATAAAAATAAGAGTTATTACATGCAATCTGCTAATTTTTACAAACATTTTTATATACATAAAATATCACTTTTATATATTATCATAAAAAAATTTAAATCCTCTTAAGTTTTACTTTTTTTTTAGAATAGATGCATGATTAATTTAAACGTTATTAATATATATTATATGTAAATCGAATTATATATATTAAACGAGTAAATGAGTAAATTGAATTATATATATTAAATGATTAATTGAATTATATATATTAAATTGAGTTATAAATTCCTTAAATATATTCTTAAATTTTTATATTAATTTATAAAATATTATTTATGAAAAAATAGTTGTATCAATAAAATCAATAATATTTAAATGCCGCAATAAATATGATAAATGTTACGAATTTTTGTTGCAAACAAAAATTAAAGAGTGAAAGAAAATTTTAAACATATCAAAAGCGAAACTAGAAACGCAAGTCGCAGTTTTCAATCTTTTAGCATTCTCGATAATTCGAATAATATCAGATTTATACATTATACTATATTATTATTATTATTATTATATTATTATTATTATTATTATTATTATTATTATTATTATTTACTCTATACTATTATTATTATTATTATTATTATTATTATTATTATTATTTGTATGTTACTGATAATGTGGGTATGTGTGGTAATCGCGACTAAAGGAGACACTTTATACAGACGCCGGCATCAGTATAAAATGTCTCTTTGTCTGTCAACACTGATTTTACAAAGCGAGGAACGAACAGGGAAAAAGCTTGATAACGAGCAGTTTACGTTGCAATGAGAGACAAAGCAAGCTGTGAGAAGCGAAATGTCAAGAGCGCGATACGTCTCTTCTCGCGCGTTCGCAGAATTTTCTCAACCGCCGAGTTTCGAGGCTTTACGATGACGACATTTATCGTAAAATGGTTTTGCAAGAACGCTCGATAGACGAGAGACGGGGCAAATCTATCGTTCGGAACGATAAATAGAAGCGAGGAGGGACTCTGGCAAGTAATTTACGTAATGCGTGCCACGATAGCTCGTTTGACACCTGCCGATACTTAACAATGGAAAATTCACAAAAGCCCGTAGCAACTCCTCGGAACTTTACCTCGCTTTGCCTCGCACATAAAGCACATTGTGTTTTGTTCGGCGTTTTTAAATTTTTGTTGAACAATCGTCTCCTTCTCATTCGCTTTCCCGTTCGCCTTCATCAGCTGTTGTTCGTGTCTGTTTATTATTTGCGCGATGCATTGTTACGTTGCAAGATGAAATTTTTGCTGAATAGAATTTTATATAAATCTATTCAAATTCCTGTACAACTTAAAAATAAAAGATTATTTTGCGATAAAAAGAGCACAGTTCGGGGGAGCTGAAATGGAAGATCGAAAAATGAACGAAAGATCCATTATGATATAAAAAGAGTTTCATTATGAGTGTATCACGCATACAATAATTAGAAAAATAATTTTAAATACATAAAAAATTGTAGAAAGAAAGAAAGAAAATTAGAAATATTAGTAATAAATAAATGTTCAAATATCACGAAGAATATCTTTTTATTATCAATACATCAAAGAAGTAGATCTCGAGATAAAATCAAAGTGAAAAAAGAGATTTGTATATAAATATTACATGTATAAGAGAGAATAGTGACATAAATTTCTTTTACTTTCAGAAAAAAAATTAAAGGAAGAGTTTCATAAATGTATCCAGTCATATAATGATTTTATCTTATATCTTTTATGTGAAAGAAAAAAACTAAAAAAAATGCACATTCTAATATATGACACGTACATGATTTAAAGGGTATCTTTGTCTTATGAATAAAATGCTACCAATATTTCCAGCTAAGTATTTATATCACTATTTTACTCCCGCACGTCGAGAGATTAGAAAATGGATCTTAAAGCGCGAAGGAAGGTCCGAGCAGGGGATAAAGATGCGGGACTCCTCCCGTCGTCGAGCATCGAAAAATGAAAGAATATGCCGAGGGAAACGGCGGAAGACGAAGGAAGGAAAGGACCATCGTGTGGCGGGCGGGCGGGCGGGGGGAGGGGGGGCGCGGGTGCGGGTGCGGGTGCGTGGACCTGCGCGCGAGCGACCGCCTGGAATTCGCAGCATTGGCTGCGCGAGGGCGCGTGGCGGATCGAGGGTGTCAGTCACAGGCCATCTGCTCAGCAACGAGCACGTAAGTTCGCACGGTAATTCGACTGGCCTCCGTCATCGGCCCGCGGAATAATGACTCGCCGCGATCGCGCCGATTAATTTTTACGATCCCGATCATCTTCGCTTTCGCGACACACACATATATACACATATGCACACACGCACATGCACATTCTCTCCACGTATACACAAGCTGAAAATTTCGCCGGCGGCATCTGTGATCTCCTCAAAAATGGCGGGTATCGTGCACAAGTTACATCGCGCGTCGATCCCTTTGGTCCCGCGAGAGGACGATTCGTGGGAGGACGATTCGCTAAAGCCCTTGCGAGTGCTCTTAGATGTCACCGATAGCTCGTTTTCGCCGGACGAGCCGATCGTTGCATTGACATTTTCGTCGAGTGGTCAGTGAGTTGTCTCGTGAGGAGCCCCTTTCCTATCTTCCCTTTTGACATTCGCTCTTTCTCCTTTAATGTGCTTGCGCTATCGTGCATCTTTTCGCTCTGATTGTTCCTGGGAATGGACATCTAAGAGATAACGTATATATATCATTTTCGACCAACAACTTTCTCATACATAATTTGCCCAGACTTTGCATCATTCTTTCCATCAATGGTTTCTAAATACTATGCGCTGCTCGCAATTTTCTTTTTCTCAGCTATCTTTTTAGCGTAGAGAATTAATCTTGATTGTTGAAGATCAGGCAGCTAAAATGCATCTTTCTTTGAGAATACATTTTGTTATCAATTAAATGTATTTCGAAATTACACACACACACACATTTTGTGTAATATTTTTTATGGAATCTAATGAAATGCTATTCACATGATGCAAGTGCATAATTTTGCATTCATCTATTTTAGCAGGTGTTCCTTGATAACACGAATTTTGTGATAGAGATATTTGAGAAAGCGTTCACGACACACGTTATAACCGATGATTGCTGATGTTAAATACTCAGAATATAAAAATGCCGTCGCGATTTGCCATGCATGAACAAGACACACCCGCAGAATTTGCATTTGTATGATGCAGCGTGGAATAGTGGCCGGTCAAATATAGACAAGTTTAGTTTGATGTTTTCATATAAGACTTTTATGAGAAAAATTCTATTTATGATCCTCTTACGTTGCTCACATATAGCTAAATCTCAAATTTTCGAGAAAGAATTTATCAAAGTATATTTTTTTAAAATAAATATGTAATAAATCATTCTTTTTACAAAATTTTATGAAAATATATTAAAAATGAAAAAAATATATATATGAGCAGACAAATGAACAAAAAATGCAATCAACATTTTTTTTGTGTTATATTATTTCTATCAATCGCACTGACGTGTTAAAACAGTGTGCGTCATTCAGATTTTTAATAAATCAATTTTATTATATATTATGTAACTACAATTCTCTAAATAATTATAAGGTCAATCATTATTCTGAATGTAAGATAATCGATAAGAAGATATGGCATACGATATATATCTACTTCATATTATATCTTACGTAAGATCATATAATTTCTCTTGAAAAAGAAACGTATATTTTAATATTATTAAAATTCCTACGTTTTACACTCTGATTTCGTCTTAAAAATATTGTCAGTATAATGAGATTTCTTTCAAAGGAAAGAATCTGAAAGATTTAACAAGCAAAAGCTCTGATTCGTGCTTTTTTGTTTATTTAAAAGCTAGAACGATATCAATACATTGGAACGTTTTCCAGCATAAATTTTACAGATATTAATATCACGAAAATGAAAAGTGGTTACATTATCGTAATTGGAACTTGTTATATTTTATTGCAAGTGGGTACTCAAAAGCAACATCGCGTAAAATATAAATGTATAAAAATTACAAAAATCTCGAGAACTATGCGAAATATGGGACTTTGAAATCGACTTTTAAACTTTCATGTCGATAAAGAGCGTTCAACGAATTTACATTGCATGTATGTCGCATGCGGCAACGATAATTGCATAAATTATACGCAACCCTGTATTTCGCGGGAAAATTTTAGAGATGAATGGCAAATAACGAGAGATTCCAATTATCATCTATTATTATAATTACTAAATTATTTGACAAGTAAAAACCAGATTTTTTTATACGAGATGAATTAAATTTTTCAAATCACTGTATTTTTGGTGAAATCAAAATATTTGGAATTTCATTATTAAATAAATTTATTAATAAAAATTACTATTAATAAAAATATTAATAAAAAAATAAAAAGTATATAAATGATTATATAATAATTCTGCATATAATAATTCAATTATATATTACAATCCAATATTTTAATGATAATTTAATTATAATTGCATCGTATCCATGGAACATTTTTTTGTCTTTACAATTTCAAATCTGTTTTTTTAAAAAAACTTTTGTTTATTCAAAAAACATTGTACTTTATAATTGAGCAAGAATTCTATATTATTCGAGATCGTTGAGCAAGAATTCTTTATTATTCGAGATCGACGAGCAGTTTATAAATGATTGGACATTCTTTTACATTTTTCGCAATATATTGATCCCGTCGAGATTTTATTGTCCTCTTTTGTTTTTTAACAGAATATATCATCTTTTGCTTGTATGTCTCGATAAATGATATATCATTTTTTGTATTATTTTTTGCAATTCATTGATGCCATCGAAATTCCATTGTTCTCTTTAGTTTTTTAATTGATGTATTGTGTAATTTTTTGCTTGTGTCTCGATAATATCATTCTGAGCCCTACTTGCGCGGGAGTAATTCGACGTGAAGGCGATAATATGAATATTGTTACAGTTCAATTAATCAACATATAACACTTGATGTCGGCGTGAAGTGAATGATAAATTTTTACATTCACCGTTCTCCATCCGTCGTGCGAATAAATGGCGAAATAATGATCGGGGAAAAAAGCCGCGCGTTGACAGATTATCGTTTCACAAAGGGCAAATAAAAGCATAGAATTTCTACGCTTTCTAGAAACTAACTGGCAAATGGAAACTGATAAATGGCAAAATTCTGCTTTCTGCCATCGCGGATTTGAAGCCCGCAGTTTCACTCAATTTTCGATCGATCTCGCAAATATTCGCATGTATTCGTGGAAAGCTTATCAGTGTTTTACACGTGTTGTGTGGAATATACATGTATTAAGTGGATATCGCGAATTGATTCAAAAATATTTGGAATTTTTTTAATAAACGATAGATATGTATATTTCGAATTTAATAAAAATCAATACCTATTTATTAATGAATATGATTTTCGTTTAAATGGCGGTTGATACTAACGTTCTCAACTTATTTTATTTTTCCGCTGATAATTAATATTAATGCAATATTTAATATATATATACATAAACGAATGTTATACATATGCACGTGTCTAAAAAATTTTGCTTGATTTCTGAGTAATATTAATTTTTTAAAATATTTGCAATTTTTTAAAATATTATGTGAATTATTACATCATACAATATATTGTTATTTCAACTTATATATTGTTATTTCACTTATTTACATACATCACATGACATACTAAAATTTAATAAATTTAAATAGTTCTCGTGATTTTCAATCTAATTTGGAATAAAAGAAATAATAAAAGAATATTATCATAATATTAGAGTGTAATTATATTATAAGTGTAAGCGCCAGTGAACGGTCAATGGCAGAAACGTTTTGCGGCCAACTCTTGTGCAGTTCGATATCGTAAGTAGGACGTGAACCTGGATAATTGTGCGCGCGCATTCGTGTGCGTTATATACGTACACGTATTTTCGTACATTCGAACGCGAATCTTCATTTTCGTACATTCAATCATCAATAAAAAGCGGCATGTCGCGTCTCTAATCTCAAAGTTGAATTGTAATCAGCTGATTAGCAACGTCATGTATCGTCGAATATATCGTCTAATAATAAATGTCAAGATAATTTATTAGCGGCAACAGGTGCAAATTTAACATGTAGTAAACTTCCGATATGTGTCCTATCTGTCTGTCCATTGGGAAAAAATTTACTTGTCCGAGGCTGTGTTATTGATATAGATCCTCGTTGAAAATTGTCCATTTATTAATCTTCTTAAAATATTATCGGTTTATTTATAGAATAATTATGTTTATAATAACTGTGTCATCAATTTTTATTAAATGAATAATTGCACAATTGAACAATGACAAAAGAATTACATTATTTGTACATATTTTATTTTATTGTACATATTATTATTGTATAAAATGTTTTGATTTCTAAATCAGTATTTTCAGAGATTTTCAATATTTAAATAAATTATATACACACACACACACATATATATATATATATATATATATATATATATATATATACATAAAATTGTATCTCGACATGGAAAGATACAGATGTTCGAAAAATATGTATCAAATCGTATCGCGATGCCTGATGCCTGTGGGCAAGGACAGATGTAGCCTATAGGAGGTTAGGTTTAGATACAGAGGTCGGAGGTCAGAGATCGGAGGTCGGAGGACGCGGAATGATGGTCGGAGAACGCTAGGAAAATTGGGAGGAGGGGGTGAAGTGGGAAGAAGGGGGCTGCAGCCTGGGAATGATCAATACTACTCGTATACGCCAAGTTCCCGCGAGAGTACCAAAGATGAGTGGAAGAGCACGAGAAATTGAACGTTTTCGATTTGCAAGAATGACAATGAAGCTCCTTCACAATGGGGAGACATATAAAACGATTCCTCGTCCATTTATGTTCGACATTCTCGTATCGTGTTACGGTAGCGATACTTTCAGATTTGAAAATACTTGGTAGGATTTCTCTGTGTCCCATCTCTTTTTTTACTACAAGAGCTACCTAATTCCATTTAGGAAAATTTATATACATATTTGCGCACATCACACGATAATTGATGGAATTCAATTATGTTTGAAGTTCCAGTTTCCACGAATCCGCGCGCATCAGAAACCCACGGATACGCTCCGTTCAGCTTGTTACTCTGCTCTCTCTTTCTCTGAATTTTATCTCGACGTTCATCCATCATCCGCTGTCCCGTTAGCTTTAAACAGTGAAATCTTATAAGCTTTATCTTTCAAATTTAATTTTTAATTTAATTTTATTTTATTAGAAAAATTTCGCTCGATCTATATCTTGTTCCAAGATTTGCCTTAATTAATGTTAATTAACATAAATTTTATTACTAAGTTTGAAATATAAAATAACAAAATATTATCTAGAAAAATACTTTGTTATTTTGCGCACTCTGTTGTTGCTAATTATATTATACAATTTAGAAAAAAATTCCAGGGAAAAAGAGAGTTTTTAAATTTCAAAGAACTCCTACGAGAGAAGAGAGATAAAAACCAATGCATGTAAATGAGGGAAAAATGTATAAATTAAATTCTTAATAAGTAAATTAACCAAGTGGAGTCAAGAAAGTAGGTTCTTAATTGCCGAGAAACAAGAGTATTTAAAAGATTAATGTTGATTTTGTCATCTTTTTTTGCTATTTTTCCAAGTTATTTTCAAGACACGAGATATATCGTGTATTCTCCCCCTTCATAAAAAAAAATTATCAAAGTTTATCCCAGTTTTTCCCTCTTTTTATTACAAAAATTGTCCAAAACTTGTGACTAAACTAGTCTATATAATTGATCTGATCGATAAAGACCATCATGACACGCTAAAATATTAAAAAAAAAAAAAATAAATCACAACTCTCAATAATATGATATAATATAAATTTATAATAAAAAAATTTTTTATTTTAAAATAAAAAAATTTTTTATATTTCCCAAATTTATTTATATATTGTTTATTTATTTATCGTGGGTTTTAGCTTGTATTACAAATTTATATTACATCATATTAAAGAAGCGCATGTGGGCTCTCAATATTTTCTCTCTTTTTTGAAAGAGGAACGTGTCACTCTTTCTCTGTCTGCCGATATATACGGCGCACAAAACAACAACGATGATAGTAAATCTCCTGATGGAGTAACCATTTTGCAAATCGCGTTGTATGAATGCGAAATCACGGTATATGCATTAAAATGCTGGCAACGCACGGCGTTAATAGAATATTTTATACGTTCCTTCGCGCGCAAAAAGGTATAATCTTGTCTATTGTGATGTGTCAGGATTCGATCAAATCTCATACTTCATCTTTCGCTTCTTTTAATCTCCGCTCAATTTTTGCAAATTTTTTATGCTACGCCCATTTCGAAACTTCAATCTTCACGTCTGTATACGTTTGAATTTTTGAATTCTCATACATTTACGTTAAGAACGGGACGAAAAATCAAGCGGAAAGATCAATCATCGAAGGTCACCCCTTTTGATCCGCTCTATCCCAGTGTCGTGCTAAAAATACGGTACCCTTTAAACGCTTCTTCCGCTCTCATCGACTTATCGACTCCTCTACGGGAAACGAGCTGCCTCTAACGCGACCCATCATGCGAGTCTCGCGTGTGTAGAGCGTAGATCTCGGCGAAAACGAGGCCACGAGACCACCTTCTCCCTTCTCTCTTTCTTTCTAGATCGATGGTCGTAATTAGGATAGCCGAATCCGACGCAGAGAAGCATCGCTCGCCGCTAATCGCCAGAATCGGCGAGGATTCATAAAGAAGGCATCGCCGAACCACCCTGTGCAAACACGCGAGCGAGGTGCGCACGATAAGGAACCGGCAGCGTGTCATCGATCAAGGGGCGCGTAATCACACCACGTCACGACGGGGCAAATGTTCCCGACGAGCTTTCGCGAGATCCCGCCACCGAGCAGCAAACCCGAAAAGAAGCGCCGGCAGGAACGTGACGCCGGCACCCTCGTTGGCCCCCCGCTTCCGGTCGGCCGGTCGCCGTCGCGATGAAGTGAGCGATACCCGCCAGACCTGCCAACTTCCGTGACGATGCGTCGCGATTATTGGCCGCGCTCGCATCCAAACGCTTGAGAGGAAAAGAAGAAGAAGCGAAAACGATAGTGTTGAACGACGCGCGTCTCGCTTCATTCCTCCTCGTATCGATCGACCTCGAAAGGATCTCTTCGTTTCGACGAGAGATACCGGAAGCTGAAGTCGACGGAGAGTCTAGAGAGAGAAAGAGATAGAGAGAGAATAGCGTTAAAGGGAATAGATCGGGGTCGAGAGACAAGGCTACGAAAACGAGAACGAGGGTAACAATAGGATGGCGATGACGATACGATAGGCGGTAGTTAAACGATAACGATAAAGGTCGCGATAAAAGGAATAGTGCGCGTATAGCACATTGGTAGCCTCCGCGTATATAAATTATCCCCCGTATACACACAAGTATATATACGAGCGCACAAATATATACATACGAAGCAAACACTTGTAAATATTGCGAGATACGCATACACAACTAGAAATAAGCGCGCACGGGCGTGTCGATCGACAAGCAATAGCAGCAATAAAGGGAATATCGTTATACCCTGTCGCATCGGTGATCCTGTTTACACTGTTGTGTTCGAGAGGCTCGTTAATTGTTAAATCGTTGGACGAGTTGTTTGCCTATTTCACGAGGATCGCCGAAAAAGGTACATCGACGACAAGATGGCGTTCGCCGCGGCGAGGATGATCCTCAAAGACAAGCGCAGGAAAGCCAGCAAGGAAGACTTCGCACCGCGAAACCGGAGCAAGGTAAAAATTGCGCACGATTATGCACGTCAAAGTGAATTTTTCGTCATCATTCACGCGTGTCGAGTTCCCTTCGATCAAAGGGCGGCCAGAAATTTGTCTCTCACGATTTTGCGATTCACGCGCCGAGGGAAGTTTTAATCGAATTTTAATGATTTTTATCGCGCAGATATCGACAGAAAGTCGATTTGATTGACGTTGCGATCGGATTGTCAATCTAGAGGCTCGTCGTCTTTCAAAAGAGTTATTCTTTTTATTTAAAAAAAAATACAAATAGAATAAAACGAAAAAATGAATTAGTATGAATTATTTATGAGAAGAAAAAAAAAGAAGCGAATAATAACATGGAACGCCCAAATTGAAATAATATTAACATCATTATCATAAATTGTTAGGCTGGAATTATATGCTTGAATTACGACGACAGCTCCCCTTGAAACACATACGTGAGGGGAAACGACGTCGATGAATGCATAATATTGCCAACAATGGGTGGTTGATATCGTACGCGGATCACGCGAGACGTAAAGTAAACGAGAGTCGGCGTGTTTTTATAGGGCAATTAATTTCGCGAAACGATAGGCATGAGATATAGACAGTGAAACTTATCGCAGGCGTACTTTATTAAGCGTTTAACGAGGTTTCTTATATGAAGAAATTACGCGCGTGGAATTAATTATGAATTGTCGCGCACATATTTTCTGGTTAAAAACTACAGTACTATACAAGATATAATGAATATAATAAATGTTATCTCTTTAATTGCTTGGAAAAATTATACGCAGTTTTAATAACGTATTAAGCCACCGCGCATAAAAGGGAGTTATTTCGCGAATTCTTTCGTGTAAAGTATTTTTAACTGTTACAAATTATGATCGGAAAAGATACACTACGATACTATACGTTTAATATCGTTTTATGAAATAAATTATTATTAGAAAATTAGTATTATTTAGAATAAAAAAAAACTATTTTTTACACATATGTATTTACAACTCAATTAATGCTAAATTAAACTTGTGTTGAAGAAATTACACAAAATATTTTAAGGAAATGACTGACCATATACAGTTACAACAAGCACGTTCTATGTAAGAATTTTGAAAATATTATTTTAATTATAATCAAAAAAATTATTGAAAGTGCAAAAAGAAAAAAACCTAGTTAAAATATTTGTACAACGATTCTATATATGTATATATGAAACAAACGCAGATGCAAATAACACAGATATTTGTAGATTATAATCTTAATAGGTTGATGTTTTTTTTTATAACGATCAATATCATCGAAGAATCCCGACAGAGGGAACAGAAGATAAAAAAATAGAAATAAAATGTGCTTCAATTCTTCATTTTTCGCCCAAGACGTATACATCGATAACGTTTTGCTGGCCTGATGAACTTATTACAAACTAATTAGTTGAATAGAAAATTAAGTATAAATACGCGCGTAACTTATATTTCGCACGTGTACGCATAATTAATAACTCGTGCGCAATAAAGGAGAGGAAGAAAGTTTTTCAAACGACCGATAATACAACGATATCGACCCAAGTTTCACACAGACATATATACACGCACGCACACTATTTCAAAAGTTCATCAAAATTGCATAACTTGTTCTGTCAACATTTGAGACGTTTTTCCGATACGCGCTCGCTCACGTTTCCATTATTTCATGTATCCGCACATTATTGCCAAAAATATTTTTGGGATTTAATATTTCATTTCGAGTGTCACGCTGAAATAAAAAAAAAATTATTTCGTATAACGATATATTAATTACATTTTTATAAACACTTTATATATATAGTACTTCGCTCTCTTTTTATTTTCAATTTACACATATAAATGAATATTTGAAAATATAATATCTTGTTACAAAAAAGCAATTTAAATCCATCTTATTCAATAGTAAGAGTAAATATGCATTAATCTCAGTTAATAATATAATGTATTCTTATGATTTTTATTTTATGAAAAAATCAGAATTAACTCATGAATAGAAAAAACAATTTTCTGATTGTCAATTCTGATTTCGATTAACGCAAATATTAAACTTAGCAGTAGTGTATTTTAATTTAAACAAAATGCTTTCTCTTAATTCTACAATTTATGGATTCAATCCGGCAGATAGGATGAAATTGATTGACATATTTTCATGGTTGATATCATGAGAAATACGAGAATTGAGTCATTAAATGAATGCGGTGAGCGAATCGAGCTTTCTCTCGTTCAAGACCGTGAAACGACACCGTTGTGGAGCGAACGTAAAGTAGGTCCCGCGTTAACAAGTAGTAGTCGATCTCGATTTAACATGCGACGTAAGCCAAGCCGGGTGTGTCAGAAAGGAAACAGTTTCTGCCGAAACAACAAAAGAGAGGTCCGATCGATGCATCACACTTTGCTCGGTAAACCCGTCACGACTCGCCGACGTGACAGCTTCCCGATTTCACGGTCGCTCTTTTTCCCTCGTGATAGATAGACTGCACGCGAGAGAAAGAGAGAGAGAGACCGTCTATCGTCAAGTAAGTCAAACGTTACTTTAAAAGCAACTCTGTGTCCGATGATAGTTAACATGATAAATCTTTGTGCGATATTACGCAGATGCAGTCAATATATATGTATTAACTTTATAAATCAAGTACAAGTAATATTGAATGCTATTTCATTTCGAAATGGAATATAAGATTGCAGATAATTATTGTCCCATACGTTGCTTTGAAAAAAAATTTATTAACGAATACAATTTAATTTTTAGATAAAGTTTTTATAAAGATTATAAAGTTTTATTATAAAGTTTTTTTTTATTCATGTAGCGACATTTTTTTATTATACATTAAATTCGAATTTCTCGAGTGATTTGGAAACAGAGATTTAATATATCTCAGAAATCATGCGAGCTAAATAGCAATCCGTGTTAGAAAGCAGATAGTCTGATGAAATTACTATTACGTGATTTGTGTAATTTGACAATTCGATGTCGACTCAACATAACATTAAACTGAGGTCTCTTGATAAACATCATTATGTATGCAAAACAAGTAACACACGCCAGTAACTCACACTATGTTCTCAGTGTGCGACACTTCTAATGCTACATATTTGATGACACGTAAATTAATCGTGGGTAAAAACCGATACATTTTTTCCGTTATATATAATATTTTTGCATCTTTAAGCGCGCCAACACCAATTCTTTCCATTAATTTTATTTTGATGTAACGAGTTCTAAAAATAGTTTATAAATCGCTTATACAATGACGTAATTCCTTAAAACTTTTTTTTTCTTAATATTTTATATTCATTGTGTTTGACTGTTTTAATGTCATTGTGTCAAGGAAGTCGGTCGGTATCAGTGATAGATCTTAATTTGAACTTTACCATTCTCTTCCAGCTGGAAATAGATTTTTTGCCATACCAACTTACGTTGCATACTATATAAGAATTTCTCTGCCCACGCGTTGTTCGCATCTCAAGCGTGTAACTTGTATATTCTGACATTTGCGAAATGCATTGTCACTTACGTTCCTTCGTATAAATCGCCCTTGCGCACTGTCAATCCAACACATCGCGTCTATAGCGTTGTCAACGTTCTTGTATACGATACCTTTATCTATTCTTCCACCTAGTGGCGTGGTAATTGGTGACCTATACTGTACTTGTGTTTGCAGGCTCGCAGCGCCAGTACAAGTAGCTTTAGAAGCCTGAGCCAGGTACATACCAAGATAATATACATCCAGATCTATATACATATATATATATATATATATATATATATATACATATATAGTTGAGAAATTAGTTACTAGCTATTTAGCTAGATATCTAGTGAATCATTTACTGACTTACTCACTCATATTTTTTTTAGAAACATAGATACCATCGCTCCACACATACACATATGCGTAGAGGCGTAGAGCACGCGCATTTCGCTAAAACGTTGAGCGTAAAAATTTGCAAATTATTTCATTTAGAATAATACCTGGTCCGTTACTCTTGGTAGCCGTAATTGGATTGCGACGTCAGGAATGAAAAATCGTCCAATTCTTTTCCCGTGTCTTATTTATTCGCAGTGTAGCGCGAACAAAAGGCTTTGTATGCTTTGTGTAATTTCTCTCATTTTCCGACATGTCTTAATCCGACCGTGGCTGTGATGCGTGAGGAGAGTACATTCCTCGCGAATCTTAAATAAGAATCTCTTTTGCGAAGCTGCAACTTTTACCGCACAACAAAATAATAATAACATAATAACATAATAATAACAAAACAATAAGAATAATATTCAAAGCGGTCGATCCTCTATTTATAGTTTGCGTACAATCCGTTGGGAATCTCGAATTTAGGTCCCGCAATCCTTTCCACGAACGAAACGCTTGTGACGTGTCGTCTCTCGCGGCGTGTTTCCGATGATGTTTACGATAATAATGTAAAGGGCTCGAGCGTAATCTTGATTAGCATGCATGCCAATTACATCGCTTAACGGCGACACAACACTGGTCATTAATTGAAATTTGAATTGGTTGAGAATAAAAGTAGAGAGTAACCGCATGGCACGCACATGTCCATCTGCTGATAATTTTTGCTGATAACAGATGCGAACGCGTAGAAATGCATGCCTCGTATTTTTACGTAGCGTTCTTTCTTGTCGTCTTGTTTTCTCCTTCCGCAAAATTTCCGCAGGAAGAGAGAGAGAGAGAACGGAACTCTAGTAAGTATATCACGCGCGAAAGAGAGTCAGGTTGAAATAGATGACCGTAATTATGTCCCCAGAAATGTCCCTCGCGGGAAGGAAAAAGAGGACGGGAGGCAGAGGGGCTCGTTGGGGAAAAATTTGCGTTGTCTTCGTCTCGGCGCCCGATGACACGAATGTCGGATGCCATCTGCTAATGAGCGCGTTTATGCGACTCGGCCTTGTTAAAACCGCGACATTTTTTTTTCAAGCATATCTTCGTGCTCCACCGTTCTAATTATTCACCTCTTTTATCTCGATCAACGCGCTTTACATCGCGCTAATGTTTTATCACGCGCGCTTGACACGCTATGACTTTAATATTGCAGCAATCTCTTATGCGCAGTTGCATAATTTGGTCCCTTAGGGCCTATCCAGACAAACTTGCATAGGTGCATATGCATAACATAAGACCATATGGACCAATGAGCATCGAGTATTAAATCGCTATATTGACTTACATAACATAATACTCGATGCTCATTGGTCCATATGGTCTTATGTTATGCATATGCACCTATGCAAGTTTGTCTGGATAGGCCCTTAAACAAAGGTTGCGAATGACTCGGTGCTCATCGAATAAATAAGGAGTCGCTTATTTCAGAAGGAAAAATTATAAATCGACATTATCAACTTATTTCTATCAATCGTTAAAAATTATTTCAAAAATATGCAACTTGCAATCGTCTTTTCATCAAATCTTTAATTGATGAAGGATATCGTCGAAAGATTTTATTCCACATTACTCGCGTTTATTTTAAATATCTTGTATTACGAGTCTGAAATTTTACATATATTTCATACCATTATAAAGAAATTTAATATTTCTTTTTAGGATGGAAAAGGGGATAAATTTTTTTAATTGAAAAATGTGTGCGGAAACAAACAGAATATAATGAGCGTAAGTTTAAATGCGAGCGATGCAGGTTACATCGCCAAATTACCGAGTGCGAAATAATGGCGATCATTCACTTAATTATATCTATTGTTGTCACGAGTGGTACATTAGCTTAAAATTCAATAGCGTAAAGTTTTGCACGGATGCTTCCGCTTGCAATTCGTAAATACCGTAGGTCAAGGACTATTTTTCGAAGGGATGAATACGTGGGGAAAATCGTTACTCACTTTTTGCGAGTTCGAACATAAATTACTCCTGTACTTCTAAAGTGCATTTATGAAAGCAGAATGAGAAGAGCACGGAATAAAGGAGAAATCTTGGGGATTAATACTATAAAATTTAATGCGAAAATCTCTGCTATAGAAACTATTTAAAATATCGTGCTCATTAAATAACTTTTATGTCGCGAATAACCTTCTAAATTACTTTTATTTTTAATTTGAACGTAGCTATTGCAACGAAAGTAAATCGAGATTATCCGGAGAGTAATCATGCTCAGCCTTACCGATCAGATCTATCCTTTGAAATCAGGTCCTTCTCATTACAAAGATAGACATCTAGCAGAGATTTAAAAAGCATACGGTCTCTCGTGACTAACGCGTAAATTTGGCGCACCCTTAACACCCTTTGCCAGCGGAGATTAATACGTCCGTTAAACGAGAGATTGTCACGAAACGATTCTCGGGATATCAGAGACGAATTTGTTGGATATGGTCTAGAATCGAAGATAAAAATCGATGCCTTTGACCGCACTGCCCTCGCCAACCACTCTGAAGCGCGGCTACATTATTTAATTATTAATCACCCGGTTCTAGACCTTGCACGGGAAGTCAGTGACACGCTCCAAGGACGCATTGGTCCTCTACGTGTGCGATTATTTCTGCATATGACAAATTGGGCGAAGAATAAGTATCGTATACATTTTGCGATACTTATAATTCGATTAGTCATCCTGATCTGAAATTACAATTCGTTCTCATAAATCTTGTCATGTAGAGAAACTTTATTCGATCTAGAAAATCTAGGCCACATATATCCAGTGAAATTTTATAGATTCACATTTTAGTGCAAATTTTTTCCGATTATTTTTAAACGGGCATAAAGATTACAAGATTACAATTTGATTTTATTTCATCGTAATTATTATTTGTGTAATAATTTATTTGAACTGATTTTTATTATTAAAAATAAATGTTTATTATTGTTGCGATGAAAAATTATGGTTCAAAATTTATAAAAACAGATAGTTTGCAAAAACATTGTACATTGAATATTGAAGAGCTTTAATTGAGAATATAAAAAAAATTAATGGATTGGTTGCATTTTCGCAACAATAACACCATTGTTATCTGCTTGGTTTATGATGCTCCAGTGTCTCGCAAAGCATAGTCTTTCAAGGGCAACCGCAATCATTTCCAATTATTGATCTTTCGAAAGAGGTTTCCGGGTCTCGCTCGCAAACACTTCGGGCAAAACTTGAGTGGGTGAAATGGCCGAGACGGGAAATAACGCAGTATAATACTTTTACATGAAATTATGCGGCCAAAGAAGTGACAAAATTAAACCGAAAAATTCTGTATCAAATAGAATCATTTATGTAAATATTCGTGAGGATTTCCTCGTCAACTAATTGGGAAAAAATTTAATTTAAATATAATATATATTTAGAAAATTTTTTAAAACGTTTTTTGATTGTTTTGTGATTGAGATGTAAAGAGTGTCAAACATTGTCTTTAAATTGAATTGACAAAATTCAATTGAATATTATTACTGACTATTTATGTACGATTTTATGTTTTTAGGATAAAAGAAGGGAAGAAACAAATATTGTAACTTTTTTTATCGACACAACTATACTTTACTAATACATGAGAATAAAAAAAAATCACGTTAAGATTGTCACAAATAAAACTAGTAACTAGGTTGCCAACAAATCGAGAGATCCAGTTATAACTATATAAAAATTATTTAGTGCGTCCTCTTATCTACTTGTGCCAATACAATTACATTCAATTGTCAGTTGTAGCTTGATGGCGATATTCTACAATAGCAAATATATTATTTTGAATGAAAATACTGCATTTTTTATGCACGGAAAGACCTATTCTCTTTTAAAGATGTATATCTTCGTGACATAAACATCATGACACTAGTAACTTAAAAGGTATATTCTCTCGGCTATGAGAGATATGAATAAGATAAACTGTGTATCTCTCATGATATTTATTTGAGTACATTTTACGTATTCGTCCCTGCGGTATTGTTGTCACTCTTTTCGAGAAAATAATAATACAGTGAGATAAAGTCAGCCGCATTGCTGCGAAAGAATAAATGCATATACAGAACACGTAACGTTACCTAAAAAGGCAACGATCTAGATAAAGTTCCACACAACGTATACGCAGCACGCGAATTCGCTTTATGCAATTCTTTTTTCTTTGAAAAAAATAGACTAGCTATATCCTGTGGCCTAAAAAAAGTTTGACAAAGTCATTTTTCAAGTCTACAATAATGCTACTAAAACTCACATTCGCTGATGTGTATACAAGTGTTCTCGAGATCTCATCTAATTGGGTGCAGGATATCAAGATGACGGAAACAAGTTCGTGATGAATAGCTTTATAAGTACTCGTTAAAAACTTTTCGCCGTAGCAATTCGTTTCCATGAATTTTGCAGTATTTTAAAGACAATTATATTCGGATCGATGTTTATTGAAAATACTTATTTGCATAAATATTCGATAATATTGGAAATTTATTAACATGACCAATTGACGATTACAATCTAATAAAGATCAAAGACCAATTATTATCTATTGTTCTATCAACAACGTTGATATACATCTTGTTTCAAAATGTACTCGTGAAAAATTAAGCACAAATTAATTATAAAATTGATTGAAAAATTAAGCACAAATTAATTATAAAATTGACGATATATACATATATAAAAATTGGACATGCAATAATAATTTTTACACTCCGTACTTTCATATTTCTGTGCAAATAAACTAGTAATTACTCGTCTTTTATTTCCACAACGCTTAATATTTTTTATTAAATTTGCAGTTTTTATTAAATTACTTTCGCAATTTATTCTAAGCGTTTCTGGCACGTAACATAATTTCAATCTCCGCACACGTTGCAGAACTTTATGTACATCTAGATTAACGATAAGCAATCACGTCGTACCGGAAGTCTGTTTAGGACATCGGTCGGCTTTAATCAGAGGCCCTTGGTCGCGATATTCCGTAATGTAAAGCGCCCGCAGTTAGCGACCTAAATCCGCATTTCCGCGGTCGCAATTTAACACACATACGTAACCGGCACACTATGCCATAGTATAGACGATAAATGGGCACGATGCACGCGCGCTATCCGATCTAATCGACCGGACGAAAGTAAGTCATCCTCCCCCGCACCCCGTCCGCGGAACTTTCGTAAGCGCCCATTAGCGATCGTTATTAATTTTCTCCCGCGACGTACATACCTACTGTGAGCACACCCTTGAGAGAGATAGAGAGAGAGAGAGAGAGTGGAAAAAAATGAGCTTTTACAAGCACCGCTTTTACGCAGCAACGAGAGAGGTGGTCAAGTGGTTTCGAGCTTTAACAAATCGAGTGCCACTTGTCGCAAATTGTCGCGATATATTCTTTTTAGTTTTTGATTAAGAAGATGGGTACATCTCGGAATGACGTACACGCGGCTATACACGAAGATTGTAAAACGTCATGTAAGTCCGTGCGAAAGTCCAGCTCCAAGGAAAGTTTGAGAGTGCTCGTCTTAAACAGCAATTTGTTTTTAAAACTGACCATTTTGGCGATACAATTTATATACCGTGCCTCTAATACACATTTCGCGTGTGTACAATTATACACACATGATAAGTAATATAGATATAGCGCAAAGTTACATTGACTAGAAAAATGTCTATTATGTTTGTATAAATCTCACAGAAGTCAAATTGAACCAAATAGAAATATATCACTTTACTAACTGTTATTTACCTTTTTGAAATTATACACATTAATATTCGGCAAACTTTGAAAATAATCAACAAACAAATTATTTCATTAAAATGAAGATTTATTTGATTATTTTATTTCATTAAAACTTATATTAATATTCGTTATATTAATATTCGTTAAAAACGTTTACAGGATTATTTTATTAAAAATGTTTATTTAATTAAAATAACACGGAGATGTGCGTTGACTCCGGAGATAATTAAATTTTATATAAAGATTATCGATCATTTTATTTAAATAGTTTCGTTTTAAAATATTATTTGAAAGTTTTATTTTCCAGAATGATAAGAAATATAATTGAAAGAGCAATATAATTTTGATATTAATTAAAATATTAATTTAAATAATTAAAAATAATAAAAAGTTTTTGTTTGAAATATTTAAATTCTACAAATTGCATGGAGAGATAATTTCAAATTTTAAATGTTGTTTCAAATTATACAGCAAGGAAAATAATCAAAAGAAATTGTAAAATAAGCACGTCTTTATTTCCAAAATAGAATTATTTATTTAAAATTAATTTACGAAAACAATTATGTGATTCAACAAAACATAAGAACGAATCTAAGAGAAAAAATGTATGAAATGTTTAGAATGAAAATATAAACTCATGAAAATGATATTTTCAAATATTTTATTGTTTGTATATAACAGGAAAAATAATGACTTTGAATATCTAAAATTTCTAACGAGAAATATGTATATTTGAAATATCTATTTTCTCATCATGAAATTAAACATTTCAAATGAAATTTTAATTGACATACAACTGCATTATTATTATTATTGACCATTTGTATAATATACGAAAGAAAGAATTTTTATGTAAATATTTCTATATTTCCTATTTTATAAATATATTATTTATTTTATTCATTTCTGAGATGCATATTTTTATAACAACTGACCGAGTTGTGACTGAATCTCCCGGAAACGCACGCTTGCGCCTGAGATGCGGAAATGGTCGAAAGGATGAGAAAAAAAGTGTACGATACACACATGCACACACGGAATTACATGCGGGATTTTACGTGTGTGGGTGTATGTGTACCGGTAATTTGCATCATTAGAGATTTTTCCCCTCGATAAAGCATCGCCTGATTGCGTGCAATAAACGCGCAAGTGTCCCGTCAAATGATACGGGGGCTTCCGCATTTGTTTTGATATACTTTTGATACACGGCCGCGCGATCGATCCGTTCGTAGCGTCGCATGCGCAACGAACGATCGCGCTTAACGTACGCCCGGTCCGATCGATGTACCGACCATTTTCCACGTTTCCGTACGATTCTCTCGCGCGACAACGGTGGCCCCGGAATTATACAGACTGTTACATCCCAAAACGGGAGAATGTAACGGGAAGGGAGCGTCCGTAGCTATCCTCCCTGAGCTTTATGTGTTAACACTTGTTGGTACAAAAACTTAATTATTGACAAATAAAATAGTCACGGTATCGAAATGACGTTAATGCTCCTAATGTAAATTGCTCGTAGCGACGATTTTATATGAAAAAAATATAGTTGAACGTGTGGTTTAAAAATTGCTCGTACGAGGCTCGCGTAATTTTTAGGCGTGATTTTGAGACGGTTTAGTTTCATTCATATCTTGCTTCAGATAGAGAATAAGTTAATTTTATTGAAATTAATTCTTTAATACAACATATTTTATTTCTCTATTAAATATGAGTGATTTATATAGTTTTTCTTTTATAAATATATTTAAAAATATCTCATTTGAGATGCTGTATAAATTAGGATTATATCTAAATTTTATTTTAGGACTGTAAATTTTGTAAGAGTATAAAATATACTACTATAGATTCAATTAAGACAATCAATATAACTCTAAAGTGTCTGGCACAGAAATCTATATTGAGATATGACATTTTACATATATATTTTACATATACAATTTACATTATTTTATTATTAAGGATTTAAATCTAGCTTTATGTCTCAAAGGTATATTTGGCTTCACGGTCGTTGTTGGTGCATTACTGCTTTATTTATAAGGAATGTGCTATTAGTCGTATATTATAATTCGATTTATTTTGATCATGTATGGTTACATATTTTACATATTTATATTATCATATTATCATAGAATAGATCATACAAATCTAGAATTAGTCTATGAATGAGAAAGTGTCTATTTATAATAAATTATTTTTCACTTTTCGCTTACTCTATTTCGATGGCTTGCTATACTTACTTTATATACTAGAGAATGCATTTTGACAATTATGCAAATTATCTGCGCTAGTATAGTATAAACACGTTGCTATGAATTGATTGTAATAAATAAATTGAAAAATAAGTGATATAATTTTAAAAATATATCTTGCAATATTTTTAATTCCAAAAATTTCTACTTTGGCGAACAAAATTATTCCGTAGTATGAATTTATGTTAAAATAATAAAATATGTTTAAAATATATCTGAGAATGGGGGGAAGCTGTCTGTACAGGTGATCTACAAACGATGTCTCGAAAACGTAAGTATATCGAGAACGATTTGCAGTAGAACGTGACGATAGAATCTCCGTAGAATTATTGTAAGCTTGAAACACATCTCGAATTAAATTATACTCTCGCGCGATGCGTAATTCATGTGCACGGGTCATAGACTCCGTCAAGATCACACCGGATAGATCTATAATTATCTCGTCGGCATTCGCCCACGCAAAGTACATGCAGTTCTTCAGTCAATTATTAATTGAAAGGTTATTTTTAGACCGTCTAATACCAAACATTGATAGTCGTACGACTCGAGTCTTGATTTAAACGAATTCTCTTCTTATTAGCAGAATGGTCAACAAACTCTCCGCATCTCGTTAAAACACGCGATTCTATTCACAGAATCTATTTTTTCCATTTTTCGAGCAGTCTATAGATCTCCACCCACGAGACATAGACGTAGATTAACGTTTAATCAAATTTAACGTGTGCCAAGTCGACGCGATGATTTTGAATAATCTAAAATAAATATTAATTATAATAATATCTAAAATAAAAGTATTAATTATAATAATAGTATAAATATATAAAAATAGCATGAAACGTGATGTATAAAAGATTTAGGTGTATCGAATTTTACTGTCAATTATTATACATATGTTTTTGGAAATATTAAAAATATATGAAAATTACGATAATAATTTTAATTATAAATTTCAAATAAAATTGCTATTTGACAGAAATGTTACAGTTATCAATAAATTGTTGGTTTGCAAAATTTTTAAATGTAGCAAATAGAAAGAGATAAAAAAATAAACTTTGGAATATTATGCATCATAAATATGATAATATTCTGTCTTCATTTTTTGAAACTTATTTTTTTCGAGAAAATCCACCGTATATTAACGACTAATAGAGATCTTGTCTCTTGGACTGTAGGCACGCAACAAACCGGCGGATGGCGTGGGTCATGTAAATCAAAAAGGTGCTTCCGGTCAGAAGGCGCCGGCGGCTGGTCAAAAGGTCGCACCAGGCACTAAGGGCGCGGCGAAGCCAGCCCAGAAGCCGTCAGCTCAGAAAGGCCAAGTGAAAGTGACACCCAAAGCGGCCTCCGTAAAGACCGGCAAGAACAAGAAGAAGGGGCAGCGGCAACAGTACGATCTCATCGTTACCATCAATCTGGTGAGAGAATTTTATTTTATTTTTGAAATTCTTTTCTAATTCATGCTCTAGTTCCTTCTGATTATTATAACCCTTACAAAGAAATCTCGCGAATTGAAAAATTCTAATTTTGATGAAATTTTATACATGCGAGGGAGAGATAAATAGACTTAGATAGATGACTTTAGAAATTGTGATCCAAAAACGATTCAAAAATTCTTGAAAAAAATTATTTTATTAATTAAATAAAAATATTCTTACCATTTGATTTTTATGTAAAACATTTTTTGATATCTTGAATAATTTTGAAAAAATCGATAGAATTATATATTATTATTATATATATTATAAATGACTAAAATTAGCTAATCTCTCTTTCTTTCTCTCGTACTTGATATTTCTATTTAGGTTGATTTTAATATCGAAATATCCGAGAAAATCCCTTTCATTTTATTTTTAATAATAAAACTTCCGACGAGAGATTTTTTGGAGATAATTTTTAAGGAAAATCCCAAGTGTCACTTGTGAAATATGAAATGATCGGCAATATGGTAATTAAACAGATTAAAAAGTTCCCTGATAAAGTCTACTGGATTTAAACGAAAAAGTTTAATTATTTATATAATCGCAGAAATTTTCAATTTATGAAAACAACTCTCTTTACAATTGGTTTTAATTTTTAAAAAGTCAATATTTTATTTAAGAAATCAAATCAATCGAAAAAATAACCAATTAATTTTACGCGTTTTTATATGATATCGATAAGAACTAAACATAGGAAATCGTGAACTGGAAAAGTCTAATTTTAATGAAATTTTATACATATATAGAGAGGACATATATAATCTGTTTAATTATCATATTGCCGATCATTTCATATTTCACAAGTGACACTTGGGATTTTCTCTAAAAATTATCTTCAAGAAATCTCTCGACAAAAGTTTCATTATTAAAAATAAAATGAAGGAGATTTTCTCGGATATCTCGATATTAAAATCAACCTAAATAGAAATATCAAGTACGAGAAAAAGAAAGAGAGAGATTAGCTAATTTTAGTCATTTGTCCGCATTTTAAGGCCATTCACATTATTTTCCTAGACGATTTGCGTGAGAACGCCTAATTATATTTCTGTTCTTGGAAGCGAACGCAATTATCGATCGAATCATGATACGAATCGTCTTTGTCAAGTTAGCGTGCTCTTCGCGTAATGCGTGCACATTAGTAATAAATATGATCTGACCCAGTTGAATACGCGATGAGCGATCGATAAGTTACTCTTATTCGGTTAATATATACGTCGTATAGTCAAGTCGTATAATCAAGATACACCGAAGAAAAATAAACATTTCGTCTAATTCGACGTAATTAGAGACGGTTCCTCGATCACATTTATTTTAGGATTACATCTCTGAACGAGATTCTTGGCAGCCTCGTATATGTCTATTTAATGTCCATTCATAAGATATATTTTTATAGCAGTATATATAGTATTATATCTTTCTAGTAGTATATAATAATTTTATTTTTGCTGACAGAGTTAAATTTTGAAAATATTCAGATAATCGTACATCTAATTTTTTATTGATTCTTGATTAAATTTTTTATATTTTTTACTATGAATTTTACATTTTATTTTTATTACTTTCGTCAAGTCGATTTGTAAAATATTCGAATATACATATTTATGTATATTTTATATATGATGTGTTCAACAAACGCGAAAAATATAAATATGAATTTTGAAATATTAAAGAAATTTCTCTCTCTCTCTCTCGAATTGTGAGAAGGATATATTTCATATAATTAAAAGTATATATTTTGATTAAAAGATAACATAGGATGATTTTCGAAAGTTTTTGTTTTCATCGTCACCAACCAGCGAACGTGACATAAGCGAGCAAAGTATCTGTTTATGTGCGACGTCGGTGGAGGGGAAAATGGTCACCTGGCGTCCGATAGTCCGATAGAGGGGACCTGGTAGTTAAAAACAGACTAAGGTTGCCAAAGTCTCGAACATATACGAGACTTTGTCATCGAGCGAACGTCGTTTGCGTCCGAGTGTTCGAGAGTTGTGGCAGCTAGTCTTCGTCTTTTTCCCGAACTTCGCGCGTAAAGTAACGTGTGCGACGAGGAAGAAAGCGAAGTCGACGGCACGTTCACCGGGGGATCCAAGAGTACATGTATACTTTACGGAAAGCGTGAAGATCCACATACTTTGAAGCTATTCTATTTACTATACGTCGCACGTCGGCTATTTTTAGTCACATTCGCGTGCAATATTACATTTTCGAATAGTGTCGTCCGTGTGATTACCATGGAATTTCGCTTGATCCAGCATCTTCGACGTTTCATTTAGCCGAGGAAACGACGAGCTTAAAATCACTTGGTCTTTCCAAAATATCCTCTTCGATCTTATTCATTCGGGTAAAAGTAATCGTGAGATCGATGACGACGACGAGAAGCTGAAGGAATCCTTCTCTTTCTTATTCGGCACCAGCAATGACCTTGGGAGAGCTCGTAGTCGATAAATATTAGTTGGACTTCCCGAGCAGCTTCCAACGGATTTATCGCGCCGCGAATGTATGTCGATTTCCTTCCCTAGAGAGAGAGAGAGAGAGAGAGAGAAAGAGAGCGCATAAAAGTGCGGTTTTCTGTTTTCTTTCTTTTTTACGGATCGACGGAAACGTCGTGCGTTCATAATGGAAACGAGATGTCGATACGACGATAACGAGACGCAAACACGTCAACTCGAAATCTCAAGTTAATATATCTCGCCGTAAATCTCATTGTACACCCCTCTCCTTCCGGCATACGTCGCCCGACGTGACAACAATAGATCATGGCGGAAACAGAAAAGAGATACTCGCACGCCTACGGACAACTGCGTAGATTGACTAGCACGATAGATTGTCAAATTAGGCAGATGAGTGTAAGTGGAAAAAAAATATTTCTTTGAAGAGAATAAGAATTTGTAAAAAGATTTCGATTTACAGAAATCGCGAGGTCATCTCGATTAATACGACAGATTGATTATCAAATTATTGAGTGTAAATAAAAAAAAAATACGTATAAATTTCCTTGGATAGTAAATCAGATTTAAATGTATGTGATGTAGTGAAGAAAGATTTCAATTTGCAAAAATCGTGAAACTATTTCGACTAGCATGATAAATTGTCAAATTAGACAATTGAATGGAGAAAATATAATTTCTTTGGATAGGATTCAGATTTAAACATGAGAAGGAAAGATTTCGAAATTACGAAGCCATCTCAATGAGATGGAATGCGTCGTTTCGTCACAAGATTTACTACGACATTTGTATGTGTGCGACACTTTATTATTAATAATTCATTACACATGACCTCCCGTCGCGAGCGCGTCGGAGTTTCGAACGTCTCGGGCATTTTGCCAAAAATTTGCTTCGGTATCTTCCCTGTATATTTTGTACGAGAAAGAGCAGATAGTAGTTATAGAGCAAGGTCGTTCGCCAACAGGAGACGAGTTCTTTAGACACCGCTTGGCGTCTTTACTATGTAAACTATGTATATTATGTAAACGTAACTTGAAGAACGGGTGGAATTGCACTATGTGTGTACGAAATGAGTTTGTTTTTTTCTCTGTTTCAGTCCGAGTATGGACTCACAGAAGATCAGGTGGCAGGTGAGTTAACACGATTATATAGATAATTTATTAATCATAATTAGCTAGATTATAAAAGTTAATTGCAATAAGTAATAATCATATCCGATTTTAAGATTACTACAATTTTCTAAAATTTTTATTCTTTAACAAGATACTCTTAATAATAATTAAGTTTGAAAATTAATATCTTTTTTTCTAAATTATTGTATCTATACATTAATTTTATTATCTATTTATTTATTTTATTAATGAAAAAGTAATAAAAATTATTGCGTGAATATCATAGAGATAATCATTATGGACTGTGGTACAAGTATCTGCCAATTGGCAGCCGTTTCTCCTATTTTTCTATTATATGAATGCGGAATCAGTGAAATTAAAAGTGTCAAAGATAATTTCGAAGATAGGATAATAATAAACTCGACGATCTCGAGAGAGACATAACGATATTTGTTTTATTGAAAAATAATCGAAACGAATAAAGTCTCATGAAATATGAATATTTGATGTATAATTCATGCATATCATAATAATGATATTATCATGACACACTATGTTATCGATTATGTTTAACTTGCAATTTAATTTTTTGCAAATGCTCGTATTTCTTTCTAGTTATAATCTTAGCCATATGGTAATATGTTAAATAAAAGAGATATAAAAAAATGCTAAACTTGACAGATTAATCCATTTTCATTGATAATTATACTTTCATATATTTAATTATTATTTTATAATTATATATTTTGATAATTATATATTTTCATTGATAATTCATTGATAATGTACTTTTTTATTTAATTATAAAATAATTAAGATAATAATTAAAGGAAGAATCTGTCGCGCGTAAACAATTTTTTTAATTATTATGTACAATTATTATCATCTACCAAACTGCATGTAAAACGATTTATAGCGAAATTAATTCAAAATTAATTTCGAGATTAATTCAAAATTAATCATTCAAATGCGTTGTAATTAATAGAAATAATAGATTATATCATAGTAATAGCAATACAGCACATTTGCAAAACATCAAGATTAGTAATTAGCAATTACTCGGCACGTAATAAGATGCAAATTTCCTTCAATCAATAATGCAATTAACAATAACTATGTTTCGAGTACAGTAACGAGATATCAGCGAGATAACAGCAAAGTTGTATTATTTCAGAATTCAAAGAGGCATTCATGCTTTTCGACAAAGACGAGGACGGTACGATTACGATGGCGGAATTAGGGGTTGTCATGCGATCTCTCGGTCAAAGACCGTCGGGTGAGTCGCTCAAAAGTTCGAATACATCTCGGGTGCGTTTTGCAAATCCCCGGAATGACGCTGAAACGCGCGCTTCCTTTTCAGAGACGGAATTACGCGACATGGTGAATGAGGTGGATCAAGACGGGAACGGTACCATTGAGTTTAACGAATTCCTGCAAATGATGTCGAAGAAGATGAAGGGTGCCGATGGGGAAGACGAACTTCGCGAAGCGTTCCGGTAACGAGCTCTTCCTCGATTGTCATTGCGTCGCATTGAAAGAACGTTTCGGAGTGGAAAATTGTGCTCTTAAAATATAGATAAGTGCCAACGCGGTACAACTTTGTAAGTTTTCTCTCGTTTCAGAGTGTTTGACAAGAATAACGATGGATTAATCTCCTCCAAGGAACTCCGACATGTAATGACGAATCTCGGTGAGAAGCTGTCCGAGGAGGAAGTCGACGACATGATTAAGGAGGCGGATCTAGACGGCGATGGAATGGTCAATTACGAAGGTAATGCAGTTTCGTAATTGCGTTAATATAATATTTGGAGATAGTTCTCTGAGCGACATCCAGAAGACGAATCTTCTCGCTTTTGGCAGACTCGAGAATTTGAACTTTTCGCAGTACATGAAAGAAATATGTAACTTTCTCAGAGAGTACAAGTACGTTTCCCTCCGATACCTTGATCGGAATACACTCTCTCTAATTATTCCTTTTCTTCGTCATGCGGTGATATAAATTCTGCACAGAGGTGGTGAAACGTTAATGCAAATCGATTGCTCTGTTTACGATCCTGGAATCGATCCCGCTCGCAAAAGTATCCTGTCAACTATAATTGTGGGTATGTTTTAGAATTCGTGACGATCTTAACGTCGAAAAATTAGTTCGGGGATCGAGGGAAAGTTAACTCGCACAGAGATACCAGAGGATCTCCAACGGAGGAAGGATAAACGGATCCGCCGCCCAAGTTCCTCGACTTTCCGGGATCGGGACGAAAGGTCGTTTCACGCTCCGTAAAGCTGCAGAAATTCAAGATGCCGACGAGAGGAGAACATTCAAAACTTCGATCCAGTCGATCAACCAGCCATGATGTGCGATCGCGATGTGAAATCGCGGAAAACGCGAAAGAATTGCGAGAGAAGGCGCACCGATGTTACGATATACAGCTTTAACGAATAAGTGTCGAAGGTTCCGAGCGTAAGTAGCGTCAGTAGAAAACTTGAAAGTCCTTGAATCATCTTCGGAAGATTACGCGTGAATAATTATCGCGAATTGCGCCTTTGACTTTGGCCGAAAAATTAAGGAGGAGAGAGACTTACTTCCGTGAAATTGCACATACGCATTATATGAGACACACACACGGACACACCTCGCGCTCCTTCGGACTAATCTTAGACGAGTATGTGAACTCTAGGCACATATAACGATAACGTATTGTTATACAATAACTAAAGGAGTTATATGTCAAAATGAGAAAACGAGGGGGAAGAGGGGAGGGAGGGGGGAAGGGGCGACCTGCCGTCACCCGGAACAATCAACCGAGCTTCGTTTAGATTATTACGTACCCCTAATCTTTATCTCTCCCTTTACGAAGCGATTTAGGAATTAACTAGCTTTCCACGCCCCCTTGAACGGTCTTGCGAGAAAGTCCCGGAGTATACTAGTATACTAGTATATATATACACGATATGTTTACATAATACATATATATAAATACATATTATTATTATACGATATCTGTTTTGCGTTGCGCGTTTCCTTGAAACGCAACGCTCATGAAAGGTACTTCGTACTTCGAGTGTTTTTACCGCTTGTATTACACGCAGACGTGCGTAATCCAACGTAGAGATACACACATACACACAAATATGTCATTTGATCATCGTTTCTTCGTTTAGATCCTTAGTAATTTTAGAACGGGCACGCCGAGCATGCTAACGAATAATTAACTCTTCTGCTTTGACACGTAGCGTGAATATGTTCCCGTCGATTATCGTGATACCGCGTTCTGTAATCGATGATGAGTGCCCTGGTTGAAAAAGTGCTTCGGAAGCTAAGCTAGATGTATTTAAATAAAAATTATTACGGTAAAATCTCGTGAAGGAATAGTTTACTATCTGTCTACGAGGTTGGAGAAAGTGTCCGAAAGTGTCCTTGATTATTGATGGGTTACTTGAAGGAGAGTAATTTAACAAGTCATTCGGATTTATCCAAAAATCCATCGGTCATAAATTAGATGGAATTAATGTTGCGGCAATTCTGACAATCGCTAATTACATCCTCGATGACTATACTTGCCATTAGTGGCAACATGATTATTGGCAGGTATCTATAGTCAAAGAGTATGTGGCGGTAAGGTTTTTGATATAAAGAGAAAAAGAAAGTCTACGGGAACAATTCAACCAGGGTAATTAACGCGAACGTTTGTTCCTTCGTTCTTCATTCGTGACGTAATGGCAAAAAAGAAAGATAACTTTTGCCAACGATGCAAAAGAACGAAAAGGATGTGGCAAACAGTTGTCACACAATCAGTCTCACTCGCCGCAATGTCAGCGGTCCCGAATCACAGAACCGTGTATACACGCATTATGTTACACGTACGTACCTTTGCATAGAGACATGTTGTAAGAAAAAAAAACATCACGAATCCTGCGCGTTAGCACACACACACGCGACATAGATGGTAGTACGTAGTACTTAGACTTAGCGACTATAATAACAGGAAAAAAAAAAGAAGCGACCGCACAAGAATAAAATGGCCGAGCTGTGGATTATTGTATACATATACGTGATGATGTGTTGCTATCACAAGAAAGAAAAATAACACGTGAAGAGAATACGTAGGGAGGTAATTATATATACACGTATACTTAATGCATTGTACATATGTCCTCTCTCCGTCACCCGCGCTCCATACACATACACACGCACGTACGCACGCATGCACGCGCGCGCAAGTCCCCGGTTCGATACGAAGCGGAAACTAAAGATATGTATTGGGGTAGCGCGTGAGACGCGAGGATGGACGGAGAGATCGAAGTAACGAGAGTAAAAGCACGCGAAAGCGCATCTCCTGCGTACTATCAATCGGAGTAATTCTGTCCCATTTCTTGCACGCGTAATATTTTATTATAGATATTATGTATAATTTTGTTATCGCTTGTTCGTACACGTTTGTACTTGATTTTTTTGTGCAATGTGTTTATCGAGTTGTAAATATTGATCATTGTTTGTGAACATTTATATAAAATTAGATTTTAGATAAAACGATGTGGATGTGTATTCGTCATAAGTGTATTAAATAATGTTTAGTAATATAAATCAATGTTTGTTTGAAGAAATTATTTGAATATATATGAAAGTAATTTATTAGTTTCTCTTCGAGATATTTAATCAATTTTCTATAAGTGTTCACAAAATGATCGTTTATATCCCATTATATATATAGCTGAAAAGAGCATTTAAATTGATAAAATACGATAAATGGTAGAGGACGTTTACATTAGTTATTTTTACAATCTAACTGCAATGTTACATAATTACAATTCATTTAGATTGCTTTTGTATAAAAGTGTATGAAAAATATCAGCAAAATATGATACAAATTTAAGGAAGAAAAATAATTAGAATAATTGTTTTAGAAATTTCTACTTACATATTCACATATTATTGTAAAATAACATCGATTAACGTAATGAAACGTATGTGAAGCAGTAATATTTTTATTTCCAACGAGAATATAAATTCGTGCAAATTTTTTCATTTTCAAGCTTGCTCCAAATCCACGAAATGTTCCTCTTCTGGTTCGAGCGTGACTTTTTCGCACATTAATCTGCATTTGGCTTTCGTAATTTTATTTTTTATTTACATTTGTCATTTTTTCGAACCGTTTGAATTTGAATGCCGTGTCGTAAAAGTTGGAAGGCCATTTATCCCGATTGACTGTACGTATATGCGCTACGAAGGGTAAAACGAAGGAGAGAGAGAGATAGAAAGGTCTTTTATATAAGATATTGGGTGAAATCGCGCGTGTTTCGAGATCCGAGCAACTCGATCACTTTTCTTTCCAAGTACGAGCAAGATGTGAGAGACAGTTGAGACTTGAAACGCTCGTCGGACGAAACGTAGTAATTTGCAGGTGCACAGAGATAGACAATAATTCTGTTGCTCTTTAATCTGATTAATCGACAATTGACGACATTTGACGACGAGGTTATCAGATTACTGAATCCGGACTTCATCTTGAATGGGATGGCACAATAACGATGAGAGTTCAGAATCATCGCGAGAATGCTCCTGATCTGTTATAAGTAATTACTTGTACATAAGACGCGTAACGCACGATCAACGCATCGCACATTACTTTCGCAGGCGAAAGCTGTGATCTTTGATAGAACGATTGATTTTTCGAATGAAACCAGAATGGACAGTCTTTGCTGCGAAAATAGTCCAAGTCAAATTTTGGAGTACGATCCATTTAGATAAGAGATATACATAGGTTCGATGAATAACGAATCGATATAATGTACCTGTCTTAAAATCTCTTCAGAATTTGACTTACATTATTTTCAGCACGTATCGCACCTCCGAGAAATAGAATACTGCCACGATGCCCATTGATAAAGACTCATTTTTTTCGGCGCTTGAAATTAAATTGATTTGCAAAAGAAAGTTTTAATAAATTATATAGAGGATAAATTGATAACATTAATCAATAAAAAAATGATATATTATTTTTGATAATGCCTAACAGATCTATATATTTTTAATCAATTCGATGAATTATGACACCGATCTCGAAAACTTGGAAACTACTTGACTTCTATGGCAGTCTTCTCCCAATGGTGCATTATAATTGCATTATAATCAAGTACGCTAAAGGATACAGAAAAACAAAAAAAAAACAATACCCATGTAACAGTAACGTTGAATTCGTTCACGACACGTATACAAAAATAAAGTGCACTAAACTTGCACTTGGAGACGCTACAACGCATACAAGTAAAGTCGAAGAGATAGTCGTGGTTTTTGACAATAATATATTTTTTTAACGCTTATATTCTCAGAGGGAGATGTCCCATCACGTGATGTCTTTCTTTCGAATAAGCACCGAATAGCACTATGTTGATTATGCTTTTTTAACTTACCGATGCTCGAGATGATCGATTACGCTACTCGTCGGCGTTCGTAACGCTCTTCTCGATCGTGCTCTCGATTAACATATGCGAACGACTCGAAACACCGCGACCTGGATTAAGTTAAGCGCGTAAACGAATCAGAGCACGGCAAATGGCGGTAGATAAGGAGGAAAACTAAGCGGCTTGATAAATACGTCACAAATAGTAATGTATAACGTCCTAACGACAATATTTTTAATGGTTTAACTGAGAGAATTCACCGAAGGAGAGCAGATATATACGCTGATCCGCCAGTTACAAAAAAAAAAAAAATACACGCATCAAGTATATCACAAAAGGATGATATATCTATGTCTCCGATGACAATGATAAGCTGCTGCACGTCGACGGCACGTGTCGCTAATCTGTTGTTGCAGCGTCACGCACTTAGATTTAGTACTGTTTGTTCGCATCTCTCCCTTTTAAAAAAGATTACTGTTGATAGTTCTTCTTGAATAATTATATTTGTGATTGATGCAAGAGATTGTCAGAAGAAGCGATTAAGTTAATGCGAAGTAAAATGAAAAATGACGTTATATTATGGTTCTTAAGCGTCAGTTTAGAATTTAATAATCTGACTGTTCTTTTATGAAAGGGAAAGAAGCTCTCTCTCCCCGCTTCTTTTTATAATATTAATATTATACTAATCGCGAATGAGTATGATGCGTACGGATTAAAAAGCAAAAAATAATTAACAAGCTAATAGATTAAATTTGACGAAAAAAGTTCGTGATATTTTAAGAATAATTCTAAGCATCTGTTAAAATTTAAATTTGCTTACGTTGAATTTTACGAGACACTTTTGCGTTTGTATCATTTTTCTTTCTTTTCTTTTTCTTTGTAATATCGAAATTGTGTGACGCGCGCAGGTATAAGTACAAAAGCACAGTTGACGTGAACATGCAGTGAGTTTCTATATCATATGCATAATGATAAGAAGAATGAGTCGATAATACGATAGAACGTGAGAATCGTGTTTATACGCAAAATGTAATGTATGGCTTTTTAAATCTTAATTAATATTAAATTCACTTTATGTTGATTAAAACGATGAGGACTCTAACTCTTTCAAGGACAAAAAAAATGAATATTTAAACATATTGGCAAGAGGAAAAACGTTGTTACGATCACTTTAATCACTTTAATCACTTTTGATCGATATAAAAACTGCTGATGACGATTCCTATATTGTATCATCTGTTGCACAATGCCAATTGTTATTATTACACAATATTAATACATAAACTGTTTCTATCACATTCCTCTAAGAGTTAGCGGTTTAAGCTCTTCGCTCGGAAACAAAGAGGGAAGAATTCTTTCTCTCTCCCGTCCCACTCCCCCGATTACATTAATTCTGTTCAACGCGAGAATCGACTTCTTGACGAACTTTGAGAGATATTTATTATTATATTGTCACACTTATGCTCCACAAAGCAGAGATATTTTTATAGATTATTCCTTACGCCAAATCCTGCTGTGCAGCGTAATACGAATCATATGGCATTGTGTTGGAATGCATTGCATTGTATTGCATTGTATTACATTTTGTATAGGATGTATCGAAAGTCGCGCACTTTTTTTCTTACTGCAGATCGAAGTGAAAAAATTGTCACAAGTTTTCGAAAAAAATTAATAGACAAGATATATAGGAAAAAAAAATTTATTTTTCTTTCATCAGTTTTAATTTTTGTACTTTAGTAGAATTTTAATTGAAAGCTGAGTATATTTTTTATTATAAAATATTTGATATCAATTATAGTTGCGAAGCAAGTTTCGATGATAAATAACTTGAAATTTATTGCGAAATTTGAAAAAGTGTAAGATGCTTGGGACACATCCTATATATGTTACATTGTATTGTACCAACTATATATACGCGTAATACAAGTTGCATATATTCTATCAAATTGTTTTGCGAGCTGGAAGCTCGCGGGTGCGACAAATGTTATTGATTGTTCGCAGGCCTGCCGTTAAGTATCGCCTACGTACAGGATGTCTTGGAAATGAAATTTTAAATGCATTCTTGCAAACAATGATGCGGAATCGAGATTGAGGAGTATGCATATTTTCATTATATCCCTTTGGACACCCTGTACGTTTTAGTGTTGCCCTCCAAAAGTAAAGATACGTGAGTCTTCCTTCTCTCCAACGTATATTTA